TAGCAGAAAAGACTAAGCTATTTCTTCTTACTACTTGAATAAATTTATTTAAGTGTTTAAAATGTTGATCAATACAATCAGAAAAGATTAGTTTATCATCAATATAAACAATACAAAATCCATAATAAGGATTAAATGTCATTCATTATATTTTAAAATTCTGACTGAGCATTTTTAAGCCCGAAAGACATAACATTCTATTCATAATGGCCAAAAGGTATTGTGAAAGTTGTTTTATACCTGTCTTCCTCAGTGATTTGAATCTGCCAATACTCTAATTTTAAATCAAACTTGGAAAAAATCATAGCGTTATACAATCGAGATAATAAATCCTTCTTTTTTAGGAATGAAATATCTAATCCATTCCAACACCTTATTTAAAGGAATTCCTCACTCCTTTTATGCACTGTTGTTCACACAAAATGCTGCACAACTCCAAAGAGAGTAGCTTTTACGAATTAATGATTTCTCTATTAATGAGTCAATCCCTTTTTTACAGAGTTCCAAATATTCTTTATTCATTTGTGTTGACCTTGTCTTAGTACGAATATCTTTTTCATTAAATTTCTTAATATAAGGAAGAGTTAAAACATGTTTTTTCTTATCTCAAAAAGCAGTAGGAATGATATCGCATATTTCTTTAGTTTTTTTATTTTCAATTTCTTTTAATTTGTTCTTAAATTCATGAGTCTTCAGTTTAGCTGATATACTTAAGATTTTAACATATTTTAACAAATTTAATTGATTCTTTTTATGAATCAAATTTTTTTTTATTTGATTTATCATTTTTATTTGTGGTAGAATTACGAATTCTAATAATATTTGTTGACCTTTTAAGGTAGTTAGAATTCCTTCAGAATCTATTCTTTCTATGGGTTCAATCATAGATAAGAATTGTGTTCCAAAAATTACTAATTGATTTAAATTTGCTATAAGCATAAAAGTGGTAGGATTGATTTGAACTAACAAAAACACAAGAAACTCGAAGAACAAGATCGAAAAGTCTGGATGCAATTTTTCTGAAAAATATTCGAAAAATCAAAAACCCTATAAAACAACCACGAAGATGAAAACCAAGCATACCATGAGAGAACCCATGAGAAATCGAGCTGGATTGTAATACCCCGTTCTAATTTGGTAAGGAACTAGTTAGAAATATTATCTTGTAAGGAATAAGAAAAATTTTAAAAAAGAATTTAGAATAGTCTAGAATAATCTAGAATACTGGAGAAGTTTCTAGAAAGTTCAAGAATAACCTAGAATAGTCTAGAACAATCTAGAATGTTGAAGAAGTTCCTAGAAGAGTCCGAAAAGTTCTAAAATAATCTAGAGAAGTTTAGAATATTTTAAAAGGTACTAGAAAATACTAGAAGGTTCTTGAGGGATTTAGAATGTTCCGGAAAGTTCCGGAAGGACTTAGAAGGTTGGAGAAGACTATAGATGAATCTAGCTACTTGTGAAATTTTCATGTGCAAAATAAGTTTGAAACCTAGAAGGATCTAGGAGAGGGGATATGGTAGAATATTCTAGAGAATCTCCCCTAAGAATGTCACATGTCAATATTCTCTAGAATAATCCTTGGATGACAATAAATAGGACATTTGAGGATTGGATTAAGATACAGGTGCACAAGTAGTCTTCCTCTTTCAAGAAAGAATAGAGAGTAAAAGAGAAAAGAAGGAAGGAAGAACATCTCATCAAAGGAGAAAGGAAATTGTTAGAAAAAGAGGAAAGACATCAATAACATCTCACTCTACTTCGGGTATCAAGCAACACTCAAGAAGCATATCATTTGGACTAGAGGTGAGTGATTTGACATGTTACGTATTTTCGAAAATTTCCCATATCTCTAAACATTTTAAAAACAATACATCATGATTGTTCATTACTACCTTTACAAAATATTTTACTAAGTGTCTAAATACTTGTGGCATACGATTCTCTTTGTTTTGATGAATTCTTTTGTGAAGTGTTGTGACTCAATCACTTGTTTATATGGTGAGACTTTGTGATAATGAATGAGACCATGATTAAAAGTCCATGAAAATTATTCCTCTGTGTGCGGGTGACTCTGGCCACAAGGGAACAGACCCGGGGAGGCTGAGGTGGCCCTAGTGCTCAATGGTTGAAGGAATAGTGCCTGGTGCATCCTGGTAACTTTCACCGGATTGTCTTAGGGAACAGACCCAGGGTAGGTTGTAGTGACCCTAAGTACGATGTTGGATTTAACTTTGAGATATATTTTAGCATTTGGTATTTGGTTCTCATCAATTATTAGATATCGTACAGTTTTCACCATTATGATATGATTTACCGTTGTGTTATGATTTCTTGTTGAAACCTGATTGTGTTATTCTTTAGAAATTAGTTATCTTGATGAAGTTATTTTTGCAAATATTTGATTTACATGTGGTATGCCAAAAATATTTTTCAGCCACTTTGAATATGCATGCCTTTCCATTCACTGGATTTTTTAGCTCATGTTTTCAAAATAATATTTTTTTAGTTAAACGATTGGAGTGTCAATAGTGGACTTAGAGAATTGATTGGAGACTAATAGTGTTGTGACCTTCGAAGCATATATCGTATAGCCCTCTTTACTTGTTTGGATAATTGGACAAACAGGTTTAGGTATGTTGACTTTGCCATATTGACTTAAGATAAATTTAGTGTTTTAATGTTATTTTTCACTCCTATATTATTAGTTTATTGTTAGGCTTATGTGTTCCGTAGGTTATGGATCTATGGTTCACGGCCAGTCATGCCCTTGGAGTTGGGGTGTGACATGGATGGTGCCTCCACCGGTTGGAGATGATGATGTCACCATGATGTCATCATATTAACTGATGACGCAGCCCTAAACTAAAATCAGATTCTTCCTTCCAAGCAATTACTGTGATGCTAAATATATTTTGGATTAAAATACGCTCTGATATTATGTTAACTTTTGGTCAGAAAGATAGGAGAAAAGAGAAAGAAAGAGAAAATATAATTGTGACAATAATCTATTTTAGTAACATTAACCTAAGATAAACAAATGAAAGCCCTTATATAGTAGGACAATATAATGTGAAATAAAGACTAAACTATCCCTGATGCTAATATGTTAAAATACTCTTAACACTAGGGTTTGGAATATATAGTCGGGTGGCCTAGAATCAAGTTTGGAAGGAATCCTAGTCATAATAGAAAAATTTGGATTTTTGACAATCTGTAGTCGCTCAAGCACACATTACTTCAATCAAGTGCGTATGGTGCTGTCCGAGTGCCAAATGAGCGAGGAGCGAGTGCTATCTATAGATGGTTATAAAGGATGCCTCTTGCAAGCACCGCTCAAGCACCTAGTTAGCACCAGCTACTGGAGTTTCTTTGAAACAGTTTCAAATGACCCCTTTCCAAATGGACAGCTAACTTGTGTGTGATTGACATGAGTTAAGCTTGAAGTTTTCAAGGATCTCCAATCCAATCTTCCCAGTAACCATTGAGAACCAGCTCAGTCTTCTCCAATGTTCAAAACGTATGACTTCAACTCGGACCAACTTGACTCATGTGAATCACAAAATTTGGCTAATTACAAAGATTACCCTTATATGCTACTCATCCTAGTTATTTGGTCATCATGCTGCTGCATAAAGTCGCCCTGATTCAATGCGAGTTAAAATTGACGAAAAATTCAGGACTGAGAGTGATATGGTGTTGTGGAGGAGCACATGCCATATAGGGTTTGTTAATTTTGTTTATTGATTTTACTATTTTCATTCGTAGAATTTTGCAACATTATATTTGAAGATATTGCATCATAAATGCTGTTAAATTCACAGAACTTTTAGGGATGACATGCTATTCCTATGCTGTATGTCCATGCATATTGAACACTAGTGCATTTTTTGTTAGAGATGCCCAACCTTCCATTCTTTGGTTAAAGTTTTTAATTGAATATGTTTTTTTTTATGTATCCTTTGCCGTTCAATGGTCTGTTGAAATGACGAAAGAGAAATGTTGGGAAGAGTCTATTGCTCAAGAGGCAGCTCAGATTTTTGGGGCTATTTTTCATTGCCCTCCTTTTTTGGAGCTCTGTTTTACTTGACCATTTTTAGGCCAGGATTTTTGCAGTTATTCAACTGCTTTTATACGATAATGTTTGTTCATATCACTTGGAGTTTGTTTTTTCCTTTAGTTCAACAAATATGTGTGTGCATGTTGCACTGAGTTGATCTTGATCATGAATTGTTCGTAATTCTCGTGTTTTTAGAATTTGATAGTTGATAAACTTTTAATCAGGTAAGCCCAGGGTCCCCTGCTGATAGTGCTGGATTCTGTCCTGGTGACGTCATCATTGAATTTGATGGAAGGCCTATTGTTAGCATTAAGGAGGTATCTGGAAACATCTTTTTCCCTTTATTGAGACTGATCATGTTTTTGCCAAGACAACAGTCCCCTCCCAAAGACAAATTAAACACCCCCCAAAAAATAGCAGCCATAACAAGCAGCAGGCAGAGCAACTATAAGCTCCCACTTTACAACCTTGAATCTTTTTAATGCACGAATGCTAATAGGATTCGTTATATAATCTGGAAGATCTTGAATGCCAACATTAATCTTTTCCCAATAATACTAAACAATTCTTGAAATAGAAAACGTGGTAAGAGTTGGTCGAATGTTAATTCTTGAATACCTGTTAAACATGACCTTGTACTTTTTAATTGGTGATAGCATCTCGAATGACTATACAGTGGTGGTTGACCTCATAAATCGGAAAATTGTTTCAGATTGTTGATATAATGGGAGACAAAGTTGGGAAACCTTTGAAAGTGGTTGTGAAAAGAGCCAACAGTAGTTCAGAAACTCTGACTGTTATACCAGAGGAGGCTAATCCAGATATGTAAATGACTGGTACTCTTTTGGCTGTGTATTAATCTTGTCTTCGTTACCTTTCATAGAAAATAGATCAGTTTGAGAAGGAAAGCTACCCAATAAGCCATATCTGCCATTATAATTTTCTTCCCTAAATCTTATTTATAGTTGGTTTCACATTGCAGAATTAGGCAAAATTATGGTATTGGTAACTAGCTTTTTTCATAACTTCACAGCTTAGATCTAACATCAGAGGCTAACGACCAATGATGGTTCTACAGGTGGTGAACGGATAAAGTTGAGCAGAGTAAGCCCCCTAAATAGTTTGTGGGTATCCATAGCTACTACTCGTGTAGTACTAGACTAACCTTTTCGTTCTGTTCATGCTAACAGTGTCTAACAAGGTGTGCATTTAGTGACGTTACATTGAGCGATTTTTCAGTTATTTTTATTTTTTTTATTTTTTATTGGCCATTGGATTGATGGGTTCCAGGTAGGTTTAACTAATCATTCGGTGCATGTGGTTGCACCATGGTTGGTTGGTAAAAAAAAGTTGATAATGAGTGGGATTTCGAGGAAAATAGATGGTATAATCGAGCGATTTTTCTCAATGCCCCCTGCTTACGTGCAGATGCAGGGAATGTTTGTAACATATTTTATGGAAAGAAAATTCAAGTAGACAGGTGAACATAAAGGTGGCGCTGTCACTCAATGGCCTTAACCATCCACATAATCCACAAGCAAATCCATGCGTTTATATTTGTTTAATGGGAAAAGAACAGGTAATGCGACAACCATCACGAATGCTTCCACTCGAAACTTCAGTGAAACAAGCTTAGATTTCCTTGTTTTACAGTCATTGAAGAAGCAAAGAAGGGGAGGGAGAGCAATGGCCTCTCACATCGACTGTGGAGTGATGGTAAGTGCTCATTAATCAAGCCATTGCGAGTTTTTAGATCCCAATCACCTTCTCCAAAATTGGTTTATGATTGTTTGCTGCTCATTTCTTTCGTAGCTCACAATAGACGGAAGTCACTAGATATGATGAGTCACGGGGTAAATATGTATTTTTCTTTTGAGGTTATCCATGAGGTGTTGCGACTACAATCAATCACACAAACTCAAGTATAGGGACATAAAAACTCATACAAAGGCAACACACGAATTTACCGGGACAATACTCTCAAACTTTATTTATTGAAGCTCTCTATAATTTAGAAGGAACTCAAAGCAAGAACACTCTTTGTCTCTCAAGAATGTCCAAGCACCCTTATTTATACAAGGATCATTGTAGATAACACTCCCATCTGCCAAGGGGCTGTTACAAACAATCTGTCTATTCTCTAACAAACTTGGTCAACAAAGCTATCTCTCTGCGCGACAACTGGCTGATAATTTTGCCCATTCAGCACTTAATGTGGAATTGCTCTTATCTGTATGCACTTGGACCAGAATGTGAATTAGCAACTGCCAACATCCTTTTGGTTACATGCATTGAGCCATGTGCTCACAATTCAGTAGCCAAACTTACCCACGAACCATTGTGTATGTTGTGTTAAGCCCATGCCATACAATTCGAAGTCATGCACCAGCATTGCCTCAATTGAGCCCATTGTGTGCTAGCATGCTCAGCTGGTTGGTCTCATGATGCCATGGTATGCATCCATTTGTCGAACCACTTAGCTGCATCACTTTGATTCTATCTTATGACGTGCTTTGGTGCAAAAGATGTCACCAAAACTGCCATTATGTACCCAAGTCAGTTAGGGTGTGACAAGCCATCCTCACTTGAAGTGTCCAACAATCGTTGGAATGGTACTGCTTGATAAGATCCTCGAGCTGCCATAATGTTGTCTCTTTTTCCCAAGTGACTTCTTTTTGTGCTTTCCCTTTCCACTTGACTATGTAATGAATCCTATTTTTCTTACTCATTCATTCAATTTTGTGGTTAATGATAGATTATGCTATCTCTGTGAATTGTTTCCTGATTGTTGGAGGAGCTCGATGCCGAACATATCTGTTAGGCTTCTCTGGTCCTCAACGTATGGCTTTAAGAACGCAACATAGAAAACCAGATGTAGCCTGAGACTATTGGGAAGATCTAGCTTATGGGCCAATCTGCCAATCCTTCTTGTGATAAGAAAAGGATCGTCATAGCGTTTGATCAATCCTTTATGTGCAAACTTCTAAGTGATTTTCTTCCAAATTAGTGGGGTAAGTTTGAGCATCACTTTGTCACCTACTTCGAATTCTACTGCCCTCATTTTCTCATCTTCCCATTTCTTCATACTCTTCACTACCTTTGTCAAGTAGTCCTTTGCCTCGTCGGTCCTCTCTTGATTGGCTTGAGCAAAGAGATACATTGCAAGAGATCTATCTTGAGATTTTTGCTTGGCCACTTCATGTGCAGTGAGAGACTGTTGGCCAGTTGCCAACTCGAATGGACTCATCTCGGTAGAGGAACTTTACTGCAAGTTGTAGTTGAATTGGGCGACATCAAGTAAATCCAACCAATTCTCCTGGTTCGTTGTGACATAATGTCTAAGATATTCCTCTAGCATCACATTAAGTCGCTCAGTCTGCCTATCTGTTTGTGGATGATTGTTGGTGGAGAGGTTGAGTGTTTGATACTTTTCCCTAACTTCCAACTTGACCCCAAATTATGTGTACATATGGCTTATAGAGGTTGGTGAGTGTAACTCTCTCTCGAATTCAATGCGAGAAGTGGGAAAAATTGTGTGTGGATGAATAAAAACGTGTGTGAGTGAAAAAGTGCTTTCCAAGTGTAGAGATACTCGTAATGTTGTGTTTTACTTGAAATGAGTATTTTAAGGTCGTTTCCTTAGAGAAGGAAAGGTTGAGTGTTCTTGAAGATTGATTTGTAAAAAACTGAAAACTGAAAAATCTTGTGATTTGAAGTTTGGTGAGTTGTGAATTAAGAAATATGCAAGAAAGTAAGGTTGGCTAATCGATAGAGGTTATTCAAATGGGAATGCCAAATCGATTCATTTCATTTAACCAATGGTGTCTTGGTGTTTGATTAATTTGTAGGAAGTGAAGGACTAATGTAGTTGTATTTGGCAAAAACATACCCCGTGACAAGTCTACGGTGTATCAAAAATCTACAATTACGTCTGCACTCAACCTAGTCAAACAAAACACTTTACACAGCGAGGAAGAACGAAAGAGAGCCGATTTTACATACCTAAGAGGAAATTGCTCTTGCATTAGTCAACTAAAAGTTTAGTTATGCATGGTAAAAGTAAGAACAAACATGAAGTGGAGAGACATGGTAGTGAAATCAAACATAAACTTCGTATTAATGCAAGAATAAAGTTTTACTACAAAAGAAAAAATATTCATACCCAAAATGTAAAGATTAAAGGAAATAGGACCCAAATGTGAAAATAAACTACAAGAAACTTAGCTAAGCTTAATTACAATTTGAATAAAAGAGATTAAAGTGCAAAAAGGAAAGATTACATGTGAAATGGAGCTTACTACAATGAAAATGGTGAAGGAAAATATAAAACACAACTTTCTCTTTCTAGAAATTCATCTTTTATCTTGGACCTTCTCTCTCTAAAAGTATGATCATCTGAAATTGTGTGTAAGAGATCTTTATTTTCGTCCATTCCCCTCTCTATTAGCATGACTAACTTGGAGTCATTGGAGAGAAGTTGTTCTCCAAAACAAGCAAAATCAGTTAAAGCATGGTTCCCCATTCTTTTCCAACCATTCTCTCTCTCTCTCCCTTGTATCCCCACTCCCTCATGCTTCAAGTTTAAATGTAAGGGTTATGAGATCATTGTGGGGTGTTAGAAATGTTAGAGCATGCTTTATATGACACAAGGTGGGCCCCCGTAGTTGGTGAAGTCGTTTGGAGAAGTGTCTGGGCTTTCTGGGCATCTTCTATCAGTAGCTTGTGTCCTACCGGTAGATCATTTCCAGTAGGGTATGTTATTAGTAGCTCTTAAGGATTCTACCGGTAGGTCTTGCAGGGAGGCACTTAAGCTGCTTTCCAATAGGCTCTTATACCAGTATCTCTTGAGTCTTTTACCGGTAGGTGTTTGCCCGTCTTCTACCAGTAGGTCTTGCATGGCTTCTACCGGTAGCTTTTCCCGTGTCTTGGAATTCTTGGTTCCTTGAGCTCCCAAGCCATCTGTCATGGGGTCTTTTCTTCTGCATTGACCTTGATCACTTGACGGGGTGCTTTATGCATGCCAGTTGTAACTTATCACCTACAAGCAAACAAGTCTCCATTAATTATAAATTTGAATCAATTTTTTCAAAAATACACTACAAAACAAGTCAAATTGGATGCAATGAAGATGCATAATATGCAATATTCTACACTATCATTGAGTTGTGTGCCCAACAGCTCGAACAAGGTCATCCAAAATCGGCTAGTAAATCTCGTGTCTATGTTGTTGATAATATCTAATGGAAGACCCCAAAGCTTCACAATGTGCTTAAGAAATAGCTGAGCTGTAACTTCAGCAGAAAATATTTTTGGAGCCGAAATAAAGGTGACATACTTCAAAAATCTATCAACCACCACAAAGATTGAAGTAAAGTTATTCACCTTAGGCAACCCATTGATGAAATCCATAGAAACACTTTCCCAAGGCTTGCTCGGGATGGGGAGAGGCTCTAAGGTACCTGCCATCTTCCTCCTTTTAGTCTTGTCTTGGTGGCACACCAAACAAGTGTACACATAAAGCTCGACATCTGCTTCCATGCGAGACCAATAATAACTTTTCGCCAATAGAACGAGGGTCTATTGTTGCCCCAGATGCCCTGACCATCGAGCATCGTGAGTCTCTTTCAACAAAATTTGTCTAAGTCTGCCCGACTTTGAAACATAGGGCCTCCTTCTTTTGGTATAGAGCACGCCATCGTCTATCCAAAATTGCTGAGTCACCCTTTCTTGGACCTGTTTTAGTAACAAGCTAGTCACGAGATCAACTTTTGTTTGATCCTGAATTCTTTGCAGCATATCTCCAGCAATCTGGCTAAGTGCAACCA